CCTCTCGCCTCCCTTCCCGAGCCAGCTGTAAACTTTTATACTTTTTTCCATTTTACACTTTTAGCTGCATATATTCCCCTTGTTTTTTTTTCTATGGCAATTATTGGTTTTATTAATGTTTTTTTAAATTGTTTTGAGACGTCTAGGGCAATTATTGGTTTTATTTAGTATGTTTTTTTTTATTATTTTTGAGACGTCTAGGTAAATTATTGGTTTTTATGTTTTTTTAATTATTTTGAGACATCTAGGAAAATTATTGGTTTTTTTAATTATTTTGAGACATCTAGGAAAGTTATTGGTTTTATTAATATCTTTTTTTAATTATTTTGATACATCTAGGAAAATTATTGGTTTTATTAATATGATTTATATGCTGCTATACATACAAAAAAAACGCACACTAAACATATACTGCTTTTATTGATAGTATATACGTTGTGTATGTAGTTATACATGTGTGGATGTATATGACTGTGTGTGTGTGTGTGCGTCTTTTTGTGTGTCTGTTTGAGTATGCATGTGTGTGTGTGTGTGTCTGTATGTGTGTTTCAGTGTACACGTGTGTCTGTGAGAGAGAGAGAGAGAGAGCGAGAAAGACAGCGCGCGAGAAAGAGAGCGAGAGAGAAAGCGCGAGAAAGAGAGCGTGCGCGCGAGAGAGAGAGAGAGAGAGAGAGAGAGAGAGAGAGAGAGAGAGAGGGAGAGAATCGCCTCTAAGATCTTTTCACGCGACGAGAAAAGAGAAATTCTGTTGTCAACCTCGTTATCACACGAAGCGCCCGAGGAATGTCAGTGAATGGTCGCTGGAGTACACACACTCATACAGTACACGAAAAGACACACTCAGACGCACACACACATACACTCAAACACACATACACATACACATACGCACGCACACACTACTGCACACACATATACACACACTCGTGCGCGCACACGCATACATACACACACACACACACACTAAAACACACACACAACACACACCACAATCAAACACCACACACACGCACACTCAAACACACACACACACACACACACACACACACACATCACACACACATATACACACCACACACACACACATCACACACACACACACACACATATACACACGCACACTCAAACACACACATATACACACACACACTCAAACACACACACACACACACACAAACACACACACACACACACACACACACACACACACACACACACACACACACACACACACACCACACACACACACACACACACACACACACACACTGAAACACATACTGAAACACACACACACACACCAACAGTACACTTTTTCGTTTACAACACCATTTCCATTTCCATCTAATTCCATTTCCATTTCTATCTAATTCCATTTCCATTTCCATCTAATTCCATTTCCATTTCTATCTAATTCCATTTCCATTTCTATCTAATTCCATTTCCATTTCCATTTCTATCTAAGTCCATTTCCACTCCCATTCCCATGATATAACCACTTCCATTTCCATTTCCACGTGGTCCTTCAACTCGGCCACTTCAGCCAGGAGACAGGTCGTTTGCAAGGAAAGAATCAACATATTCATATAAAAATAAATTAGTAAATAAAAGCAAGAAATTGCACATCGCAAAAAAGGCTCAAATATCTCGCTCCGATAAAACTAATTTGTCGAAAATAATAGTTACATTAAAAATTCAAGCTAATTGCATCTATGGCGTTGTGGAGGATAATCATTAATTCTCATTTACGCGTTTTTTCGCACTTTATAACCAATTCTGTTTATACTTTCTCCTAAAAGCGTTACAGTGAATTCACGTTTTTATTCTACGCACTTTACAATTATTTTTGTTTACCATTCATGCCTTTTCCTACATACTCTACAGTCAGTTTTGTTCACCTTTCGTGCATTTCTTCTACGCACGTTATACTTATTTCTCTTCTCATGTCACGTAATATTCTTCGACTCATACGGAAGTAACCCTTTTTGAGAACAAAGGAAAAATCGAGTTGCAGTCAGATTACCCATGGAAATATAAGTACAGAGCATTAATACACGTAAGAATTAAGTATCAACTGTTATGAACAAAAACAAATTAAAATTCTAAAAGGTGCCGAGTTGCCACTTCTTTATTTCCTGGAATTAGACGCACATATATAAGGAGTAAGCGCACAGGAACTCGCATTTACGTCAGATTCTTGGGTATGAATGCGTCAGTGAGGATTCCTTGATTTGAGAGGCTCCTGACATGCCTTTTCACGTATGTAACATACACTCTATTGTGTACGATTGCTGTTTTATTTGCTGCAGAATGTCCCCTACTTTCTCTTGCTATTTCTGATCTCTCTTTTCTCTCTCTTTCACTTCTTTTCTCTCTCATTCTCTCTCTCTCTCTCTCTCTCTCTCTCTCTCCTCTCTCTCTCTCTCTCTCTCTCTCTCTCTCTCTCTCTCTCTCTCTCTCTCTCTCTCTCTCTCTCTCTCTACCTCTACCTCTACCTCTACCTCTACCTCTACCTCTACCTCTACCTCCCTTTCCCTCCCTCCCTCTTTCTCTCTCTCTCTCTCTCTCTCTCTCTCTCTCTCTCTCTCTCTCTCTCTCTCTCTCTCTCTCTCTCTCTCTCTCTCTATCTATCTATCTATCTATCTATCTCTATCTCTCTGTCTCTCTCTCTCTCTCTCTCTCCCCTCTCTCCAACCAGAAACATGATTGTGGAGCAAGTGAAGCTAGTCAGAATGCGAGATTTGAGAGAACAGCAAATAACGGGGAAGGGAAGAGCCCCCCCCCCCTCCACACACACATCCCCCTCAGGCAAAGTACTTAGGCCTGACAGTGTCGCGTTGACGTCGGAGTAGTGCGAGAGAGAGAGAGGGAGGGGAGGGAGGGGGAAGGAAGAAAGAGAGAGGGGGGGAGGGAGAGAGAGGGAAGGAAGAGAGAGAGCTAAGGTGGACAAGAGAGAGGGAGAGACAGATAGAGAGAGGGAGGGAAGGAGAGAGAGAGAGCTAATTTTGAGACGAGAGAGAGAGGGAAGAAAGGGAGAGAGAGAGCTAATTTGGAGACGAGAGAGAGAGAGAGAGAGCTAAGGTGGAGACAACAGAGAGAGGAGAGAAAGAGAGGGTAAGGAAGAGAAAGAGAGAGGGAAGGAAGAGAGAGAGAGAGCTAGGGAGAAGAGGAAGGGAGGGGGAAGGAAGAGAGAAAGAGAGCTAGGGAGGAAACGAGAAAAGGTATTTTATTTCGACACATATGGGAATGCAGATTTGTAGAAAGTCGGAGGATGTGAGAGAGAACGAGAGGGAAGGAGGAAGAAAGACAGAGGGAGGGATGGTGAGAGAGAGTGAATGAGATTGGGAGAGGAAGAAATAATCCTTACTTTCCATAACGCATACAAATCACAACAAACAAACAAGCCAACGACAGACAGTAATGACAATCCGAATAAAAGTTTTTCATACTGTAATCTGATAGACGCTGCCCACTTGCAGTTGGTGGCATGTTTTTTTTTTTTTTTTTTTTTTTTTTTTTTTTTTTCATTTCATTTCATTTCATTTTATTCACCTTCTTCTTCTTTTTCTTCTTTCTTTTCTTTCTTTTTTTAATTTTTGCTTTACTCTGCGAAACAAAATAGCTACACAGGGCTCGTACAATTTTTGGGTATCAAAATTCCGTGATTTTTCAGAGAGGTTTTGGCAATTTTACATGAGCCTTTTGACAGTATTCCTTGAATAGCTGATGCATAATCACATGTAAAAGAACTGCAATTCCAAATTGCTGTTGTCAAATTTAAAAAAAAGGGAGTAATGACTTTTGACTGTATTTTGTTGATACTTGTGGCAAGTTGCTCAACATTTATCAATTTAGGCTATGCAATATTCCGACTTTTTCATAGTTACTTCAATCTACCGACATTTATTTTCATTTCCTCCTGAAGAATTTTTCAGAATATACATTGGAAAACAATGAGAAATCTGTTGCTTTTAATTTCCTTGAAGAGAAAAGTACTGATTCCATGATTTTCCAAACTCAGAAAATAAATTACATGATATTCCAGGTCTGGAGATTTCAATATCTATTTCCTTGACTTCCCATGACCCTTACGAACCCTGGCTGCAAGAACCCAATTTCTGATTTCCTTGAAGGGGACGGGGGTATGTATTTGTCAGAGCCCCCCCTCCCCCCCCTCACCACCTTCCACATACCCGTCCGTCCCAATCCATTGTTGTCGCGGGGCGGGGGGGGGGGGCTTAGGAGATGGAAACTGGGGCCCAGTATAGGGGATCTCTCCTGCCCTGGACCTCAGCCCTCGCCTCGACTAACTGTGCACGGCCTCCTTGCCTCGCGCTTTCCTTTTCCTTCTCATCCTCACCCCCCTTCCGCTGCCCAGATCCTAAGGCGTGAGAGCCGTGCTGAAAGGGTGAAAGGCCGGCTTTGCGTCAGTCCTGAACGGCCTTCGTACTCCGTTTTCTGTTTCCTCTTTAACCCTTACATTACCATACTAACTTGCAGCGTTCTACAGCTTTTTGACATGTAACATAATTTGCTCTAATTGTTACCGTATTTTTTACCTTTTCGCTACAATAATTTACCAGTGTGCTCACCATATCTTTTTTTGTTTTGTTTGTTTGTTTTTTGTTTTTTTAGTACGCTGCTAATAACCTTAGATGTTAACGCGGTAGAATATTTTTCAATAAAAAAGATAGCATTGATAAATAGCAATGTGTTGGAGTAATATCAAAGGGTTGGAGTAAAAGTACTGCGTTTAAGGAAAAGTATTG